TCCTGGGGGCAGATGAAGGTGCTTCATCCAGCACCCAGGCTTGAATGTCAAAGTGTCTGTCTCAAGATGAGCGAGTCAGCTCACAAGACTGACTGTCACCAAGCCATGAGGGCATCGTGCTGGGATCATCCACAGTGGGAGAATTTACACGATAGAAATCATCCAACACAACATTAGAGCTTTGTTTTCTGGAAAGGCAGATTATTAATGTAACATTGTTATATAGGAAATGTGTCAGTCAATCACCACAACAGAATGCTAAAAATGAATGGCATGCGTGTGTGGGGGGGGTATGCATATGTATACATGTGGGGGGTGGTTAGAGGTCATCTTGGGGGATCTTATTCTGTCACTTTCCACTTTATCTTTTGAGACAGTGTCCCAAAGGTCACAGCTTTAACCAGCCTGCTTGGCTATCCAGCTCACATCCGTCCCACCCCTCACTCCCAGGCACTAGAGTTCCAGGTACATGACGCCATGTCTGTTACACGGGTACTGGGCATCATGGAGCATCTAGGGGTGCGGGAACAGGTTCCTTTTCCTTGCCAATGAAAAGGCAGGCAGCAAGTGTTCCCAGAAAACTGGGAGAGTCCCAGCAGAGGCATCTTGGGAAGTCAGGGATCCCACTTGAGGTTTTTAGTCTCCTCTATAAAAGAATTTAAGAGTGGGTACGAACAGAAGCTCAAGAACAAAGAATGAACTCCAATGGACGATTGAGGATAGTGTATTAAAGTTAAAAAGGAAAGCCCCAGGACATGCAAGCCCCGGAGAAGAGAAGGAACAAACACCGCCGTGTCCCTTGAGCTAAGCTATCAGGGAGGTGGTCAGCCCCTGGCAGGGGGACAGCTACAGCGTGGGGAGAGGAGCTTTAGACAGAGAGCAAGGAAGCCGTAGCATCAGTTAGGTATTTCAAAGGCAACCCTTCTGTGGCATTGTGAAATGAGCGTGGGACTATGATCCAGAGGTGCGGGCTCTGAGCAGTGAGCCTTGCAAAGAAAGATGTTGAGTGGAGAAGGAGGAGGAGAAAGAGGCGGGGAGGAGAGGAAGAGAAAGAAGAAGGAAGGGGGAAGGAGAAGAGGAATCCTTTTTTATAGTCTTTATCTTTGTTTATTTGTTCGCTGTTGGGAGGGGTGTGTGTACACTGCTCACTGGATGTAGGCGTCAGAAGTTGCCAGAATCGCTTCTCTGCTCCCACCTTGTGGTTCCCAGGGATTGAACTCTTAATTGTCAGGTTTGGTCTGAAGCTTTTTTATCCACCGAGCTGTCTCACCAGCTCCAAATCAACAACCATAACTTAATTTGTAAGTGTAAGCAAAGATAGTTGAGAACAATGGAAATATTTGCCCAGGGAGTAGTTGGACTTGGATAGAAAAATGGCTTTTCAAATTTCTCTCTCTTCTGTGGCAAAGTCCAAATAAATGCACAAAGGAAAGGTTGCCTCAAGTGTGCTCTGTTTGCTGCACTTGGAAGATTAATTTTCTAATCTTTCTGGAGGCAAAATTCCTCCCGTTGTCACGACCTCTACAGAGAGTTATATAATTATATAATGTCAAGGGCAATGTCTCTCTTCTCCCTTCATCCTCATCTCCAGTCTTCATCATAGAAATCATACAACAGAAAATTTCGAAGACACTGGAGGAGACTTTATATGGAATGCAGCCAATGAGTTAGCCTGGAACAGTACAAGCTACTTGATAGAACCATTACCATAAATGGGGACACTTGGAGTCCCCAGAGTCTTAGCTCTGCTTGTGGGATTGGGCACACAGCTACCATCACAGTGAGAAAAGAAACCACACGTTTTAATTGTACTATGTGTGATTCCACTCAAAATTAGTGAAAACATGGCCAGCTCAAAACTCACAATTTGGGGCTGGAGAAGATGGCCCTATGGGTTAAAAGCACACACTGCTGAATTTGCAGAGAATCCAAGTTTGGCTCCCAGCACTCACATTGGGTAGCTCACAACTGCCTGTAACTCCAGTTCCAGGGTATTGAATACCCTCTTCTGGCCTCTGTGGACACCTACATTCACACACACACCACACAGACCTAGGAACATGCACATAACTGAAAACAAACCTTTTTAAAAACCATAATCTTCCCTGGCATCCATAGTATTTTTCTGATTCGTCTGTGTACAGACTGCATACTCGAACCTTCCATGCCCAAACGGCAGTAACAATGAGCTTAGAGCATACAAGTTAATGCCATTCATACCAGCCCAGACACAGTCTACAAATCTTTCCAACTCTGCTTAATCACAGAGGAAACATTCACTTATAAATAGAATTTTATATTCCATGCCTCTGGGAAGCTGGTTTGAAACTGTCTGGTGTTTTCAGTTTGATCATATGTCTTGATATCCAAACTCCACACTTCTAGAAAATATGGGGGGAGAGGAAAGAGGAGGAAGGGGAGATTGTACAGTCATGAAGACCCCACTCCAAATCTAGCCTAGCACTGGAAGGTGTATTACGTCTTCAGACGTGGACTTCAGATCGCTTGAACTCAAGTAAACAAGATTAGCATCATTGCACAATGCCAAGTTATTGGAACTATGGACCTTGTTTGATTGAAGAATAAAAAAAAAAATACCTAAAGTCAAATTTTACTCTGTGGTGTTTACACAAAGAGATTGAGAAGACTTTGAACATCATCTTGACCAAGAATTTTTAACTGAAATGCAGATTGTGAGAATGTGTGACAGAGAGCAGGCAGAGGGGCAATAAAACTCGGAGGCTAGTAGAGAGTTTTGCCAGTAGATAGATATTTTCGTTAACTGAATATTAGGAAAGCTTTCCTAGTGAAAGCTATGCCCATCACACTGATACCAGAATTTTCTCCCTCGGAGACATTTTATTCTGAGTTAAACATTGCTTCTGGCTAAAAGTCATACCTGCAGGAGAGAAACAACATCCTGAACTTTGTTGCTTGTTAACATCTGAGCTGAGCAGACTTTTCCTAACAAGGTTAGAGACTACCTTGCTGGTGGCTGCTTCTTTAAGAGACCTGTTGAACTGTGGAAATCAGTATGGCGGTTTTCTCAGAAAATTAGGAATTGAACTACCTCAAGACCCAGCCATCCCACTCTTGGGCATATATGCAAGGAATGCTAATTCATACCATAAAGATACATGCTCAACTATGTTCATAGCAACACTATTTATAATAGCCAGAACCTGGAAACAACCTAGATGCCTGTCAACGGAAGAATGGATGAAAAAAATGTGGTACATATACACAATGAAGTACTGCTCAGCAGAGAAAAACAATGAAAGCATGAAATTTGCAGGCAAATGGGTGGAACTAGAAAAAAATCATCCTGAGTGAGGTAACCCAAACCCAGAAAGACAATCATGGTATGTACTCACTCATAAGTGGATTCTAGATATAAAATAAAGAACAATCAGACTACAACCCACAGAACCATGGAGGCTATATATATAGCATGGAGGTCCCTAGGATGACTGTGGCTTATAATAAATTTCGGTTTTACTCAATTACTGAGCAAGCCTCAATGAAACATCTCACTATTAAGATAAAAATACATACTCTATCAAGCTGATAATAGAAAATAAATTAATTAATTAATTTTAAACAATAAAAAATAAATAAAAATAAAAGAAAAAGTTGAAAAAAAAGAGAGAGAGAGAGACCTGGTGACCGGTATCATGCAACACTTTAGTATAACTTAGCTTTTATGCCATCTCTTTACAACGTGATTTCCCACACAATGGAAATACCAAGGCAAGGGAACAAAAGCGAGGCATAGACTCCACCTCACCAGGAAGCACAGGGGCAGCTTGGTCCAAGATACCACGGGAGTCTCAGCTCAGGACACTGTGTGGCCACCAGTCAGTTTGCCCAGCAATGATTGATTCCTAGGAGTCATGACATTCAGACCTAAAAGGAGAAAAATCCCAGGCAAAGATCATCAGGTCACCCTACTGGGTACCAGGAAAGTTCCACTGAAAGACATACTTTGTCTTATCTCCTGAGTATTCTTGGAGGCAGTGATACAGTCAGCAAACCCGGCCCTGCCTGGTTATCAGCAGAGTGATAATGCGGCCAAGGCTGAAGGTTTGATTTCCCAGGAATCTCTGCTCCCTTCCACATTCCGAATCTGTACTTCTCCCAGCCTCTCTGGCCAATCACAGAAGCCCAGGCTCCTCCGGCACAAACTTTCCTTGCTGTAGAACCACTGGTGGGAAGACGCTGATGTTTTCCATCACATGAGCATCAAGCCGTTGAATACTATCATACAAAGAAATTTCCTTCCTGAACTTCCTGGGTTTGGGTACAAGGTATATTGGCCCACGCTTAGTTACAAATCCCCATGACAGGTTCTTCCATGTCCTTATCATCTAAGTTCATGAGGCAGAGAGATGGACACCAAGCACAGTAGGGTGGGGACCATTTGAGCTGCCCAGTCAGCCAGTGACAGAGACGAGGCTCAAACTCTTGCTTCTTATTGTCTCTGATGTTCTGGTTTTGTTCAAGGTTGTGGCCAGCTGTAACTCAGCAGAATGTATGGCCCGAGTTCTCGGACTCACTTGACTTTGCCTTATCCATAGCCATCAGAAGTCCAGAAGCCATCAGGTTCTGAGGACCAAGGCTCACACAGCTTTAAGCATCCTGGGAGTAATGACGAGGATTATTTCCTGTATGTGTGGTGAAAGAGCACATCCACATTCCTCACCCTGCCCAGCAGGCTCAGGCGCTTAGCAAGGGCATCCTGTTTTTAATGTCTACCTGTCACCTGCTCTGCTCCTCCATGGTTTGGTTTAGTTGTTTATTTTTCCATAGGTTTTTCTGCCGAAGTCCACAGATTCAGGAATGTTCATATTAATAAAGTGAGAGTTGAACTCCGCAAACACACTTGTTTCTCTTTCAGAGCAAACGTCAGTAGTATGAGAAGCGTGTTGTGTCATACTGATACGTTACTCATTAACTAACTTAAAAAAAAAAAAATTGCCTGGGCTAGAGCAGAGTCGGGTAGGAGCTTCCTGCAAGGCAGGAGCTGTGACTGCTGCTGCTGGAATACGACAATTTTCACTTTATTTGAGAGCTCTAGCGATGAGCTTCTGAGCTGACTTCTTGAAGTGCTGGAGGTCAAGGGTACCATGGGGAAGAAAAGACTTTCCTCCAGCGACAATGTGTTCAAGTTCGAGACTCCCAGTAGCCCGAAGACCACTCCCGAGGCCCTAAACGGCTCCTCTGACAGCCCCAGCTTTCTGTTTTTCGGGTAAGTACAACCCTGCCCTGGCCATCCAGGAGGCTACCCAGGCCACCTCCAGCCACCCAGCAGATGGCCCTTGGAGAGCTCCAACCTCATTCGGTGGAGAAACACTGGCCAGAGGCTTCTTAGGCCAGGCACCCTGCCGGGTGGAATTGGAAGGGTGTGGAGAGAGGGGATATGAGCAGAGAGGGGGGAAAAATAAAATGAAATGAATAAAAATGACAACAAGTATTGCCGCCGCTCAGCCCAATCTTTCATGTCTTCTTCCATATTCATATCAGATAACTGGACACTGGGAATTTCCTCATTCTTGACTTGCTCTTAGGTTTTCAGGAAGTGGAGTTAGGCAATCAAACCAGAACTCTGGCTTATTATTAAAATGTTATTAAGTAGTAGTTATTAAGACATTCAGATAATTGTCTTCTTTTTTGCCTTTCTAATTAAATACTGAATATTACTACGTGCTCGGGTTCAGTTCTATACTGTACGGTGACTTATTAGAACTTTTGACTACAGTTAGGACATATCCCCTTTTAGCTCTGTTACTATCAATGCGCTGCTCTGATATGGTGTAATTACATATCACTAATGAAAACTCAATTCCTTATTAATATAGTCTCAATAATTCTTTTGTAAGTTTTCATGTTAGCTTAATTTTCCCACCCATTATTTAATGGCTAGCCGAGTGACTGGAAATGTAAAACTCTAGGCTGGAGAGATGGCTCAGCAGTTAAGAGCACTGGCTGCTCTTGCAGAAGACCTGGGTTCAAATTCCAGAACCTGCATGGCAGCTCATGACTGTCTGTAACTCCAGTGCCAGGGAATCTGAAATCCTCTTCTGTCCTTCTTGGGCATTGCACACATGTGGTACAAAGTTATCCATGCAGGCAAAACACTCATACACAGAAAAGGAAATTAAATACATCTTTTAAAAAATAAATGTAAAATCCCTGCAGCATATGTTCGTGTTTTGTTTCAATTGACTCTCAAATGTGCTATCTTCATCTACCTGTTAAACGGCCATGCAAGCTCTTCTCTGGTGTGCAAAAATAATGAGGAAAAATAAGGTGCGCTAGCAAACAAAAATACCTCACTAGGTGTGATCTAAGTAAATGTAATAAACACAATTTTCAATAAGTAAATGGAATAAAAAAAGGGGAGGGGGGAATGGCTGGGCAGTTAAAAGCACTTGCTGCTCTTGCAGGAGACTGGTGGTCTGTTCCCAATACCCATGTCTAGTGGTTCACAACCATGTGTAATTCCAGTTCCAGGGGCTCTAACGCCTTCGTCTGGTGTCCACAGACACTGAAGTCATGTACACACACACACACACACACACACACACACACACACACACACACACACACACAATTTAAAAATGAAATCCTTACAAAAAGAAAAGTCTGCCGAAATCTAAATGTTCACATCTTTCTAAAAGGATCCAGATCTATGCTGCCTACATAGTATTTAACATCAGCTCTCCATCTTAGCATTTATGAGTGCTACTTTTAAATGTGTATTGGAAACAACCTAAAAAAATACATTAACATACCTCCAAATAGTGTACAAATTGAAGAACCTTTAATCTAGTTGAAACATCTTAGTATTTTATGTATAAAATTACTGGAAGTACTTGAACAAATGTTCAGGCACACATTGGTTAAATTTTTCAGATATAAAACAAGAACAAGAAAACATGTCTTCTATATTCTAAATACATTGGGAATTTCTGTAGCTTCTATGTTCTAAATATATATTGGGAATTTCTGTAGCTGTGGTTGTTGGGTTTCCTGTTACCCTTCCCATGAACTGGAGCTGATAAAGCTGATTCTCAGATCAACAAACTACCTTAAATAGAAGCAGATAGAATCCGCACACTATTTTTATTCAAGCACGCAATTCAGCCAAAGTTGAGTGAGTAACTGTTGTATGCCAGGCTGTATGGAGGGGATACAATCATGAGCAAGAGAAGGCTAATCCCTGGCTTCTTGGAGAGGATGTTTAATGTTGGAAGCCTGGGGAAAAAAATACAAATAGATGCATGCATGCATACATAAATACATAATTTAAAATCAATATTTTTAATAGGAAACAAGTCAAAGCCAAGAGGGAGAATAAGGAAGGAAAACTACTTTAAGTGAAATGGTAAAGGGCTCCCCTAGGAAATGATACTGAACCCAATGGAAAGAGTCAGCCATGAACAGTATGGAAAGAAGCATGTTTCAGGGATAAAGGAGATTGTGTTGACTAGTTTTATGTCAATTTGACACAGGCTGGAGTCATCTGAGAGGAGGGAACCTCAATTAAGAAAATGCCTCCATAAAATCAGGCTGTAGCCATTTTCTTTTCTTTTTTTTTTTCCCCCCTTCTTTTTTTTGGTTGGGGGGGTGGTTTTTTGAGACAGGGTTCTTCTGTGTAGTTTTGGTGCCTGTTCTGGATCTGACTCTGTAGCCCAGGCTGGCCTCAAACTCACAGGGATCCACCTGGCTCTGCCTCCTGAGTGCTGGGATTAAAGGCATGCGCCACCGCAGCCCGGCGAGCATTTTCTTAATTAGTGATGGATGCAAGAGTACCCAGCCCATTGTGGGTGGTAGTCCTGTGGTCCTGGATTCTATTTAAATAAAAAATCAGGCTGAGCAAGTCATGTGGAGCAAGCCAGTAAGCAGCAGTCTACCATGGCCTCAGCATCAGCTCCTGCCTCCAGGTTCCTGCTCTATTTGAATTCCTGCCCTCACTGCTTTGGGTGGTGAACTGTTATATGGAAGCTCTATGAAATAAGCCCTTTCCTCCCCGAGTTGCTTTTGGTCATGGTGTTTCATCACAGAAAGAGTAACCCTAACTAAGAGAGAAATCTTGAGGAACCTGGAGAGAGAGGTCCATGACCGGATCAGAAAGGCGAGGATGAAGTTGGCATCCTATTCCAAGTATGACAAGACGACCTGAGGGTCAGGGAGGAGCGTATGATGTGATCTCACTTTAGATGTGCACTCCACATCCCAGAATGTTATTTCTAGGGTCATTGTTCATATAAGGAAAACATCATTAGGCTCATGTCTCCTAGTGTGCTGTGCCTTAGCACCACAGGGGTACACACGTAGGAGAGGCCTCTGCTCGTTATGGATCATGGACACTATTAACTTTGCCTATCAATGCCTAATTGTTTTCCAACTTACTGTGTTGGTTACACTACCACTAGCACTGTGCTCAAGGGCATGTGAATTGCCTTCATCTGACGTTTTCCCCTTTGGAAGGTAAGAAATGGAATCCTGGTGCAACTTTCACATGCTTTCCTCATTAACAAAAAAAGCATCATTCCAGCATGGCTGCCATGTGTAAATCCCACTTCTTTGATGGATTCACTATCTTCTTCTTCCTTGTTGACAGTTTATAAATACTCCGGATAGTAATTTTTTTGTCAGTTGCAGGTTTTGTAACATTTTTGTTTTATTCAAATTTGTCTTTTCATACTATGTCCAAGACTTTATTTTCCACTCTTGTATTTTTTGAGATTATAGTATAATTATATCATTTCCTTTTCCTCCCATCCACACCCTTCCTTGCTCTCTTTCAAATCCATGCCCTCTTTTTTGATTAATTGTTATCACATGCATATATGATGTATATACACATATATTCCTAAAAAATAACCTCAGTCTGCATAATGATCCTTGTATGTATGTTTTCAGGGCTGACCATTTGGTATTGTGTAACTGATTGGGAACTTGTCACTAGGGAAAACTTTCTCCCACTCTCTGTGTTCCTCCGTTGTCTGTAGTTCTTTGTATGGGGGTGAGGCCCCGTGGGCTTTCCACCATCCACTTTAGCGTGTCTATTGGTATCGTTCTTATTCAGCTCATGTTTAGGCAGTCTTGCTGGTGACACTTTACAGGTGTAGCTTCTGACATTACGAGGAGACATAGTCTCACAGCCAACTCCCTGACCCTCTGGCTTTTACAGTCTTTTGGTCTCTGTTCCGAAATGCTGCCCGAGCCTTCGGTGATGGGGTGTTTGGTAGATGTATCCCCTGGAACTGAGCCCCACGAGTCTACATTGTGATTGGTTGTGGTTCTCTACAATGAAGACCTTACAAGAATTTGGTTGATTAACATTTCCTTTTAAGTTAGGGTCCTCTTACATTTGGAATTTATCTTTGTTTCTTAATGTTAATCAACAGCATTAGAATTTTTATTTAGATACTGAATTGTTCTACATTATTTATTGATTAGCCTTCCTCTTCTGCTTAATATGCAAAATCAGTCTGTCATATATTATGTTACTAATTTTTAATCACATTATAGTAAAAAAAAAAAAAAACAGGTAAAACAAGACTACTTACCTAATTGGAGGGCATAGTTACTCTTATGAGTCTTAGGACTGACTTTTATTTTTAATTGAAATGACATTGATCCAATTGTTCAATTTAAAGAAATTTGACATCTTTACAGCATAAATATCTGTATTTATAGACACCATGTATCTCTCCATTTGCTTAGATCATCTGTAATAACTCAAAATGTTAGATCATTTTACACAAAGATCATATAAATCATTTATTATACTCATTCCTAGGTACTTGGTTCCTGTGTTGCTATTGTAAAGACAGTTATTGCAGTTACTTTGTTAATATATAGAAATGTATTTAGGTTCATAAATTGACTGAGGGGATTTTTACACGTGTATGTGTGTGTGTACGTGAGTGCATCTGTGTTCACATGTATTTGGGCAATCTCTAGATTGATCTTTTATTCAACATCCTTTTATTAGTTTTGATCATTTATAAGCTTTAAAATGTTCCTCTGTAGATGATAGTATGATTAGAAATATTAATATTTTTGTTTTTACCGTGTGTGTGTGTGTGTGTGTGTGTGTGTGTGTGTGTGCGCGCGCGCGCGCGCGCATGTGTGTGGTCTGGTGTATTATACATGTGTGTGCAGATGTGCATTTGTGCACTGTCCTAAGAAGGACATTGGATGCCTTGCTCCCTCCTTATCCACTTTATTCCCTTGAGGCAAGGTCTCTCTCTGAACCTGAAATGAGGCTGGTACCCAGCAAGGCCCAGCAACCTTCCTGTCTCTGCCCCACACAGTACTGAGCTTTTTATATGAGTGCTGGGATTGAAACTCGGGTCTTCAAGTGTTCTGACATGCTGAGCTATCGCCCCACCTGTTTTTACCCTTCCGATCTTTATTTTTTTCTAATAATTATACAAGTAAGAAAGTATTAGAATGTTGCATATAGGAAGCAATTCCAGATATTCTTGTTTTTGTTTTTTTTTTTTAGATTTATTTGATGTATATGAGTGTTCTACCTGCATGTATGCCAGAAGAGGGTATCAGATCCCACTATAGATGGTTGTAAGCCACCTACCTTGTGGGTACTGGGAATCAAACTCAGGACCTCTGGAGGAGCAGCCAGTGACCTTAACTGCTGAGCCATCTCTCCAGCCCCCTTGTTTCCAATTTTAAGGGACTCCTTTAACATTTCAGTATTTATCAGTCTTTTTCAGGCTAAGACATTAAATTACCCTTCTAATTCAGGTTTTCCAAGGAGCTATAAAAGCTACTGAGCACTTCCTTAACTTCCTTCAAGATGATCCCCATTTGAAAATGCATAATATGTACAGTATTATTACATTCAAAATCACAAAAACATCATCTGCTAAAATACACAGGACATTGGACAACCTTTAAGAAACACAAATTGCAGCTGAGCGATGGTGGCGCACGCCTTTAATCCCAGCACTCAGGAGGCAGAGCTAGGTGGATCTCTGTGGGTCTGAGGCCAGCCTGGTCTACTGATTGAGTTCCAGGACAGGCACCAAAACGAGACAGAGAAACCCTGTCTCGAAAAACAAAAACAAACAAAAAAAGAAATACAGATTGCTGTAAACTTGTGTACATTTGATTGAGGGAAGCTTTGGCAAATTAATAGTTGGGTTAATTCAACTTAATAATTAAATTGTGGGGCTGGAGAGATGGCTCAGAGGTTAAGAGCACCGACTGCTCTTCCAGAGGTCCTGAGTTCAATTCCCAGCACCCACATGGTGGCTCACAACCATCTGTAATGAGATCTGGCACCCTCTTCTATGTACATAATAAATAAATAAATAAATAAATAAATAAATAAATAAATAAATAAATAAATAAATGTAAAAAAGAAAATTCTATAAAAAATAATTAAATTGTAATAACATTATTAAATTTATTTGATGTAATTAATAATTAAATGTTGGTTAATTAATTAAATTAATCATTCAGCAAATAGAAAAATCAAGAATTGTTGTTGGATCAAGTAGCGTTGGGAGAGCCATTGTGCCCGTTGGCAGTGAGACCAAGGGGAAAAGTTACTCATTGGCACCTCAGTGGAAGGTCCACTGTGGGTTTTGGGGACCCCCACCAGGCTCGTGATGGTAAACAGGTCCAGAGCGAGGCAGAGCTGTGCTGGAATGCAGGAGAGAGGACCAGCCATGCCTGACAGCTGTCCCTGAGCTCTGGTTTGCGGACCGACTTTGAAGTGCAAGGCAGCCTGGCAATCACGCTCTTGCTGACTCCGCTAGGTGACCCTGACTCAGCTCCCACCTCTCCACTTAGCAGCGGCCACCAATGAGGGAGGGAGGGCATGCGCGCCTCTTTCTCTCTTGATCTCCCCTCTCCCAGGCCTTCTCTCTTGCTCAGCCAGACGCTAAGGACCAAAGGACCGGAGCATTTAGTCCTCACCCGCAGGAACTCAGCAGACTGGGGTTCACTCCTACCCACAGGGGTCGCTGAGACAAGAGGGAAATGTAGACTCCTCAGGGGGATCGGACTTTTGAAAATGTGGACATCAGCGCTCCCTCCTCCAGGAGCAGGGAGGACTTGGGAGCAGGCAAAGGAAGCGAGACTGTGTTAGGGTGGTCATTTGTTTTCTGAGTGTGGGGCAAGTGTCCCTGTGAAGGAGGCCAGAGTGGCTGAGCTGCTGGAGACCCTCAGAGGGGAGGGTGAAGGGCAAGCAGATTCATAAGGGGGCGAGAGTGAGGAGCACCAGGGTGTAGGGGCGTGTGGCTGTGGAGGTCAGAATGAGGAGGTCAAAGGCCTCTTCCAAGGAGAGTCAGAATTCTCAGAGCAGGAATGGATGGACATGTTCAGCAGCTATCAGTGCCCGGAGAGAGTCTCTCCCCCAACACCTCCACACTGCACCTCAAAGCACATAACAAGTTCTCAGTATCGGTGCTCCATGCTGTTACCAGATTTTCAAATTCACGGCATGTCCTTCTTTCCCCTATGACTGCCTCGTAGACCCCTGCTCATCATTCAAGATGTACCTTCTGAAAGGCTTTGTACAACTTCTGGGGGGGGGACATTCCTGTGGCCCCAATTCCAGCGCCTCCAAGTCAGCAGTCTTCTTATATTTGTGGGCACCGTGTCCTGTATCAGCCAGTTTTCAGAATGTATCGCACTGGGGTGTGGCTGTTGGTTTGTTGTTTGATTGATTGTTTTTTCGACCAAGCCAACACAGCTTAACCTTCTCCCCCACTTACCGTCCAAAGCCCCTGGATCTTTTCTAGTGAGGCGCTCACACACTCCTGCGTGTTTAACCGCAGTTTTGATCGCTGAATTTCTCCACTCACTTTCCCTCTGCCACACTTCACCTCCTCCGGTCAAACAGCCAGGGACATCTTTGACATTCTGATCTAGGGAGCGCTGTTTGGAGACTCATTGAGCTGGAGTTAGTGGGATCTATCTCTGTAATTCACCTTTATCTCTGTGTGCACATTAGACTTTGCTGACCATCCGGGGTTGGAATGCCTTTCGGAAACATCCTCATGACTTACTAAGCCCATTCATTCCGCTTACCGGCAGAGGGATGCAGGACCGCTGATAACATCATAATATGAACGTCCCCTACAGGTGCCACAAGTCAGAGTCGTGTGGGTAGTGGAAGAGAAACAAGGGTTTGAGGTGCATGGAGCCAGAAGCTAGGCTTTGAAAAAAGTCCTTCCCATCATTAGATGTGCGGGTTCCAAGCAATGGGCCCCATTCTCTTATTGCTCAGTCACCTCAGGGTGACTGTATAGACAAGACTCAGCTGACGGAACTAAATAACCCATGTTAGATTCTTTTCATTTTTTTTAAGATTTATTTATTTTTTATGTATACAGCATGTATGACCAGGAGAGGGCACCAGATCTCATTATAGATGACTGTGAGCCACCATGTGGTTGCTGGGAATTGAACTCAGGACCTCTGGAAGAGCAGTCAGTGTTCTTAACCTCTGAGCCATCTCTCCAGCCCTTGCTTTCTTTTTTTTACAGTAATTGCACACTAGGGATACATGGGCTGTGGAGATGGCTCAGTGGATACAGTGTTTGTCATACAAGCATAGAAACCTGACTTTAATGGCCCTGCCCTCCATAGCCATGTTAAAACAGACACAGCAGTGCATCTCTATGTAGTTCCAGCACACCTACAGATCAAAAGCAGAGAAAGAAAGAAGAATCCCTAGAAGCTGGAAAGTCAGCTCTTAGCAAGAATTAGTGTGTCAGAAGTCCTACTGGGGGGAACCAACCTCAAAGTAATACAAAGACAGCCGTGACATCCGTGTGTTACACAGATTAGCATTTACAAGAATGGATTTGAATTTGAAAAAATTACTACTGGCAAAAATTATAAATACATATATATTTATAATATGATATATATACATACATGTGTATATATATATACATATATATATATATATATCAGAGACTCTGTCCAGTGATTAATAAGGATTATTTTTCTAGATTTGAAGATGTTACAGAATGTGTTACCTTTTTCAAATTGATCATTTGATTTCTTTCTCATTCTAATAATATATAAGTAAATAAAATAATATACTCACCTTTGTACCTGATGTTTTAGTCATGATGTTTCTTAGAGAAAAGCTTAAAATTGCATAACCCCAGACCCTCGAAGGCTATGTCCACTTCTGACTACAGCTGACTGTATTCACCAGGCTGATCTCAGTTTTTGGTATGAATAGACCCTGACCCTGGCTACATACTGTTAAGTGCTGGGTTAAGGAACAGATGTGGTTTGGCCAGCTGAGGGGATTAATCCCCATAAGGAATTCATGCTGGATTGGAAGTGACTCTTGTTACAAATATTTCATCTTTTTGGCAACAACAACAACAACAGAATATGTATAAGAAAGCCAAATTTGTCAGATGATGGTAGCGCAGGCCTTTAATCCCAGCACTTGGGAGGCAGAGGCAGGCAGACCTCTGAGTTCTGAGGCCAGCCTGGTATACAAAGAGAGTTCCAGGACAACCAGGGCTACACAGAGAAATCTGTTGAGAGAGAGAGAGAGAGAGAGAGAGAGAGAGAGAGAGAGAGAGAGAGAGAGAGAGAGCGAGCGCCAATTTGAGCATTCATGTTCAAAATCAAAAACAGGCAAGGAGAACTGAATTGAAAGTTCTAGAACTGCTTCCTCTGCAGCTCTGTGAGAAATGGGGATGCCTGCCAGGAAGCGTGCACGTGATGAGTGAGTGCTTACAGCGAGCCCACTACAAATGACTGTCTCTTGTGTCCGCTTGTGTGTGGGAATACTTGCATACACTTGAGCGCCTTTCACTAAACTAGACGGATTACAGTCACTCCCTACATTGATTAGATAAGGAAAGCAAGGGACAGAACAAGAAGGGAAGTTTTCTGTGCTGCTACGTGAGGAAATAAAACCAATAAAAATGAAATCAGCTACTGGAGCGAATGCACGGATGGACCCAATCTATCCAACTTCATTGCCTTTCACCTGTCTTGGATCCAAATTATCCCTCCTATTTTTCAAAATTCAATGATAACTTAATTTAGTTTGTGTCACCTAGGATAGCTTCTAGAGCCCCAGAAGGGACACTCAGAAATAGGCACCATGCTGTTTTTAAAGAGAACTGTGGGGTTGCTGACCCTAACTGATTATGCAGTTGTATGAGTTTCCACTAAGGTGGACAGAGGCACCTCAACTCCTGAGGGGGTTACTTCCCAAAACCCCAGTGTAAGTTAGACAAGGGAAACAAAAACAAAAATCAAACAAAAAGCCCACAGCGCTTACCTTAAAGCAGTGGTTCTCAACCTGTGGGTTATGACCCTGTTGTGGTCCCATGGCGCTTTCACAGGGGGTCACATATCAGATGTCCTGCAGATCAGATGTTTACATTACAATTCATAACAGTATCAAAATTACAGTTATGAAGTAACATTGAAAGTAATTTTATGGTTGGGGGGGGGGGGTCACCACAGCATGAGGAGCTGTATTAGAGGGTTGCAGCATTAGGAAGGTTGAGAATCACTGCCTTAAAGGGCATAAGAGTTTATTCTGGAGCCATTTTGAGTGGCCAGAGCCCAGGAACACAGATTTAGGTTAAACCAAATGCCATGTTCCAATTTTGAAGCCGTTTCATGAAGTTTTATAGTTTTTACAGAACAAAGGTCAAAAGGCAAGTTTAATGCACATTGATGGGTACATCAGAGAGGTGGTTACAGCAAGATGAGGGAAGTTTTTCTACGGCCTCAGATGCTATTGAGATTCCCCCGAGGTTTTTAATCTACTAGGCACAGGATGTTACTTCCAACACAGAGGTGGACAAGACATCCAGGGTGCTAAAGCTAGTCGAGATAAGGTAATGAGCCCTGGACTGGCAACATTCCAACCTCTCCACATCACTGTAGTTCTAACCAGTCTCTGAAGACACAGCTTGCTTCCAGGAATTCTCATTAGCAAAACCATATTCATATCCCAGGAAAATAGTCAACATTTAAAAAGGTTCCTGCCACTCAAATACAAGGACCTAAGTTTGATTCCCAGCACTCAAATAATAACAGTAGTAGTAGTAGTAGTAGTAGTAGTAGTAGTAGTAGTAGTAATAGTAATAATAATAATAATAATAATAATAATAATAGCAGCAGCATGAACTGTAGTCCTCCAATGCTGGGAAGACAGAGGCAGAAGGATCCATGGAGTTAATGAGCAAGCCAGTTTCTCTAAATTGGTTAGCCCCAAGTCCCAGTGAGAGGCCCTGTTTCAAAACCAAGGAGGACATCTCCCAAGGAACGACGTTGGAGAGTGCCCTCTGGCCCCGACATGTACAGACACAAAATGCACACACACGAATATGTGCACATACCCACAGCTCATGTACACACACACTATGAAAGTATGGTTTCTATGGAACACACTTCTCTTCAACACCATCACAGGAAGTGGAAGAAACACAAAGCTGAAGCATGGCATGTCTGGGACCATCTACCTATAAAAGACAGAGTGGCATGTGTTCTGAGTGCTTCTGGGAAGTGACGAAATAGGAAGTGTGATGAGTAATGTTTTTAAACAGTCACAGAAAGCTCCCTGGCATCTTTTGGGGAGTGTTAGTGTGAGAAGCACTGCTTGGTGTACAACTTTCTAACTTATGAACTATCCATTTGTGTGTGTGTCTCATTTTTCCAACAGTAAAGTAGGGATGATGATCGGGATTGTGGAGAATTCATTTATTGGTTTTGTTGTTGCTATTGTGGTTTTTGTCATTGTTACTTTGAGACAGGGTCACACTATGTAACTCTGGATAGAACTCACAGTACAGACCAGGCTGTCCTTGAACTCCCTCTGTCTCATGAGAGCTAGGATTAAAGGCATGGGCCACTCCCCTTGTCCTTTGTCTGCAGAGAGTCCCAGGAGGGGGAGGTGGGATTCAGAAATATGTACAATAGTAAACATGAAATATTGTGTGTGAGTGAGTGTGTGTGTGTGTGTGCTCTTGTGTATTTGTTTATATAACAAATATTTGACACAAACATTCTAAAGTTGGCTGTTGTAATTTTAAGGTAGTGAAAAATTGGGAATTCACACAGAAACAAAGGAACATTTTCCCCCCTAGAGTTCCTGGTGGAGGGGATTAAGAACACACCCTTTCCTCTCTAGCATACACCTGCTCATAAAAGAAAGTCTGTTGAAAGCAGCCATTCCTTGAATTAACTAGATGGCTAAAAGACCCAGGTCCTGGCCGGGTGATAGTGGCAGCGGCGGTGGCAGTGGCAGCGGCGGCGGCGGTGGTGGCGCACGCCTTTAATCCCAGCACTTGGGAGGCAGAGCCAGGCAGATGTCTGTGAGTTTGAGGCCAGCCTGGGCTACCAAGTGAGTTCCAGGAAAGGCGCAAAGCTATACAGAGAAACCCTATCTCGAAAAACCAAAAGAAAAAGAAAAAAAAGAAAAGAAAAGAAAGAACGAATGAAAGAAAAGAGAAGACCCAGGTCCTGACTTCCAGTCTCTGTGACCAACACGGACACCAACCAGAAGTCATATGTGTTTCTGATTGTGTCACAAAGTTGCATGTGTCCACTTTGAAAATCACACTATTAGCCTAAATATCCAAATTCAACCCACAGCATATTTTCTGTTCCCTCCAAGTCTCCTGGATTTAAAGATTGGAAGCTAAGATTAGAAAAAAAAAAAAAAAAAAAGACCCTTTGGCTTCACTTAGTGAGCATCTCACAGCAGAGGCTAATTCCCAGGGTCATTCCGATTTTTTCCCAAAAGATGTTTAAGTATCTTCAGCACTGAGAAATATAAATTCACTATATTTCCCATCTTTAATTGATAGCTCATCAGCACCTAGAAATACAATTGAATGGTTATTATCAATTAAGAGCTTTACTGTTTTGTCTTTAGGGTTGCAAGCCTAGACTCTAACGGTTGAACTGTCTGTCTAGCTCAAGACTCAAGCTTTTTAATGAGTGATCTTATCCAAAAACCCAAGAAATGACAGGGTTGGGTTTTTTTCTCTTTTTTTCTTTTGTGGGGAAGAGGGCATGCACTGTGTGTGGCATGCATCTGGAGGTCAGAGGACAACTTGTAGGAATTTGTTCTCTCCTTCTACCATTTTGGTCCTGGAGATGGTCATCAGACTTTTCCTGAAGTAAAATTTAATACTGAGTTGTTTAAATAAAAATTTCATAAAATTACATTGTATAATTTATATAGCTATAGCTATAGATCTATACTGTCAAGTGCATCTCTACTGAATGATACCTCCTCATTTACTACAGCACTTGACTACAGGAATGGGTGGAACTAAGACCGTTTGACTTTGAACTTTCACCGTATCCAGTTTACAGTAATAAAACAGAGCTAGAGTGATAATATAATAATAAAGCAGCAGCTAAGAGCACCAGCTAATCTTCCAGAGGTCCCAGATTCAATTTACAAAACCCACTTGGTGCCTCATAACCATCTAGAACTCCAGTCCCAGGGGACCCAATGTCCTCTTCTGGCCTCTGTGGGTATTGCATGGACATGGTGCACAGACATACATGCAAGCAAAATACCATGCACATAAAATAAGATAATAATAAAAATTTAAGTATAATAATAACAATAACAATAAGAGACTGGCCCTCACATGCTTCTTTACCCAAATGGAAGTTCTGAGATAATGCTGCAAAGCACGGTAAATATTTAACTGCATATCAAGTGACCTTTCTTTTCTTTTTATTTCTTTTTTTTAAGTGACCTTTCTTATAGTCCATAGCTAACTGATAAAGAGGGTGTTTTGTCTATTCTTTTTCCATGTAACTATATAAATAGCTACTAATTAATGAGAGCAAGAACATGCTGATAAAATGTTCATTTACACCACAAATGACAGATTCTTTTTAATCTGTGATTCCTTGGACCCCAAAGAGTTGTTAATCATTGAGATCAAAGGAAATAAAGTCATAGTTGCTTTGTGCCTATCAAGTTGGCTGGTAGACAACCATGGACTTTTATTTGAGCAGCCAATCAGAACACACTGAGAAACAGAGTGGCAACTTAGCTGTTAGGAATTCTCATTAGACCCAGTTCCACTATCTCTTAATAAAAACGACAGCAACTTAACACTTCTGAGCAGTCTCCGGTGGCCAAAGTCTTCCTCCCCCGAGAGCTAATCCAAACATGACTTTATGAAATGGAGACTGCTGTCGCTCCATCTTCCAGATTAGAAGCTGGGGAGTGGGCGTGGCAAGGCTAAGAGAGGAGCTGGACTCTAGATGAAGGCTCTAAAGCCCGTGCTCTCCCAGGTCCCCTGTGACCCTGCTCCTCCCGTCTGTAACTCCCTCTTTCCTGAAGCAGCAGAACTGGGCTAAAATATGCAGCCCTCCTACAGGAAGGAGGTAATTAAAATCTAGTATATGGAAACAAAAGTATTAGTGCAGCAATAATAAATCAAATGCAGTAGACCAGCATAAAAGTGAGAGAAAACACACAGAGCAGAAGAAAATATTTACGAAGCAGGTATCTGATAATGGTCTGGTATTAAGAATTCTTACTACTCAACAGTGAAAAGGTGGCACAATTAAAATGAGCAGAGCAAATTGGGCAGTGGTGGCACACACCTTTGATCCCAGCACTTGGGAGGCAGAGGCAGACAGATCTCTGAGTTCAAGGCCATCCTGGTCCACAGAGCAAGTTACAGGACAGCCAGGGCTACACAGAAGAACTCTGAGTCAGGAAAAAAAAAAAAATGAACAAAGTGAAGAGTCAGTGAGATGGCTCAACAGTTAAGAAAGGCATGCTGTTTTTCCAGACCTGGCTTCTATTCCCAGCACCCATGCCAGGTGACCCACAACTGCCTGTAACTCCAATACTTGGGAATTTAATGCCCTCTTCTGGCCTTCACAGGCACCCACACACACATGTGGCATGCATGTGCACTCACGCACATACACACACAAATAAAATAAAAAATAAATCAGTCTTTTTAAAAGTAAGCAAAAGATTTGAACAGATTTTTTTTCACCAGACAAGACATATAAATACACAGTACAATAGAATGCTGCACTAAAAATCATTTGTCATTAAAAAAGGAAAACTTAAACCACAATGGTACAATTTCATGCCCACTAACATGGCTACAAATGAAGACAGGCACTATCAAGTGTGGGTGTGTAGAGAAACTGAGTCTTCCATACTGTTGTTGAGAATGTAAAATCACACAATCTCTTTGAAAGAAACAAGTTGGCAAGTTCTTCAAAAACTAGAACGTAGAATTATGATATGACTCAGCAAATTTACATGTGTCCACGGAAATACCTGCTTATGGCTATGGGTCATTTATAACTCCTCCAAAAAGCTGGGAGAAAACTTACGCTAACAACAGAGCCACC